GTTGACTGAAATAATCACCACTATGAGGCAAATTCAAGGTTTGGTATAAGAGAAACTTATGAAAGAAATTATTCAGAGCTGAACTGAGGACCCTAGCCCTGGAGAACAGGTTTCTCCAATGACTCGCCCCCACCTTCAGAGTTTTTGGTCTCCATTTAGATAGGAAAGGGTACAGAAAGACTACATTTTGTTCTTAACAAAGGAAAAAGGCATCTATGGTTTCAAATATTTTCAGATAACTAAAGGAGGTTGGTGTCTAACAAACTTAGCTTATGGTAAAGAAGCACGATTCATAAATTTACAGCCATCCAGAGAGTTAATTTACAGAGTTAATTTAATTTGGTTACAGCTGTCCGTGTTTAGGAAAATGGAGGGAGCAAAGGTTACTTGAAATCCCTTATCCTAAAAGTATCCCTAATGGTTTCAGGAGACAATGAGGCCTTTACTCACGCTCCTTCTCACAACTTCTAAACCTGGCAGGGACCAGCTGACCGTGGAAGGTTCCTGTACTTTTCAGCACAGGGCTCTTCCAGCAGATGGGAGCCACTGTCTTACTGACTTCAGCAGCCTCCAAGGTAGCTCTTTTTCTCTTCACAATCTTAATATCCACTCTGGGAATCCTAAATCAAAATGTCTAAAGGCACCAGGCAGGAACAAAAAGGAGTGTCACAGGCCAGGGAGAAGTCTTGGGAGAGTGGGGAGCTGCACAGCCTGCACCAACCTCAAGAAGGTCCCTCTTTGCAGCAATAGTCAGTCATTGCCTTATGGGAATATGGCCCACTGAGACCATTTTCTAAGAGCAGCATGAAATCTGGAGTTTACATGAAATGTTCCAACTTTCCAATGTTGGATAAGGACTCAAATATTTTTAGAAAAACTTTGTGCAGGCTGAAAATTGGCATCTGCACTCCACTGTTAGGTAGGAACTGTTGTTCCCTGCTCCTCAGGTTTCCCAGGGCAGGAATTTCAGCTAGATTCCCTCTTACCTCTCATCTTTCCCTTCTGATTAGTTCATTTCTGAGAGGAACTAGATGTGCTCAGCTAATCTTCCTCCTTGGGAGCCAGCCTACCCATGGGGAATGCTTTTATTTAATTTTTATTAATATATTTTATTTTATATAATTCTTACATAATTTTTCATTTTTGCACAATATATGCATTTTCATTTTGGTTATATTCCCCATTGGTTCCACCCCCCTTATTTTGACCCTAATCTCTCCCCTCCCCTCCTCCCCTTGTAGTGTGTCTCTGGTTTACAGTTGCTTGTTGATTTTGATTTTTACTTTATTGTAATTCGTCTTTTTCCTGGTCCCTTATTTAGGTTTTCTAAATTCCTGCTATGAGTGAGACCATCCGGTATTTTTCTTTTTCTTTCAGGCTTATTTCACTGAGCATGATCCCTTCCAGCGCCATCCATGTTGCTGCAAATGGCATGAGTTTATCTTTTTGAATGCTGCGTAATATTCCATGGTGTATATGGACCACACCTTCTTGATCCAGTCATCTGTTTTTGGGCATTTGGGTTGTTTCCATAGCTTAGCTATTGTAAACAGTGCTGCTATAAACATAGGGGTGCAGGTGTTCTTTGGAATTGATGTTTCTGTGTCCTTTGGGTAAATACCTAGGAGTGGAATTGCTGGATCCTATGGAAGCTCTGTGTTTAGTAGGTCCAGAAATCTCCACACAGCTCTCCATAGTGGTTGGACCAGTTTGCACTCCCACCAGCAGTGCAGGAGAGTTCCTTTTTCTCCACACCCTCGCCAACATTTGTTGTTGCTAGTTTTTTTAATATGTGCCATTCTCACTGGTGTAAGATGGTATCTCATGGTAGTTTTGATTTGCATTTCCATGGGAAATGCTTTTAAGACTGGGTGGGAAAGTCCATCTGTTCACAGCTAAGGCACTTTCAAAGCAAAGAGAAAGCCACATTCTCCAACCCACTTCCTGTGGCTGCCATAACAAAGTACCACCAAATGGATGGCTTCAAACAACAGAAATTTATTGTCTCCTTAGTTCTTCAGGCAAGAAGTCCAAAATTAAGGAGTCAGCAGGTCCATACTTCTTCTGGAGAATCGTTTGCTGCCTATTCCAACTTCTGGTGCCTCCCAGCAATCCTGGCACCCTCTGGCTTGCAACTGTATCACCGAGGTCCACCTCCATCTTCCCAAACATTCTCCCTGTGTGCCTCTGTTTTCTTATAAATACATCAGTTACAGTGGACACTTAGGGCTCACTTAATGCAGCATAACCTCATCTTAACTAATCACATCTGTGAAGACTTTTTATAAATAAAGTCATTCTGAGGTTCTGAGGTATCCATCCAGTCCCAGCATCATGAATGGGAACAGCAATGAGTGAGCTGAGCAGCCCCTGGCATGCTCCAGGGCTCCAGGCTCAGAGCCTGACACTCTCTGCCTTCCTTTTCCATCCCTCCCAATTCTTGAACTCCTAATATACTCTAATAAATTCAGTTTTGACTAAAAATAGTTAAAACAGATTTTACTGAGTGTTCTCTAAAACTTCCTCAGCTCTCCACGTGCTCCATTTATTAAACCAAAAAAAAAAAAAAAAAGTTCCAAAATATATTCCCTCCCACCTCATTAATACTGGACTCGATTCCTTAAACTTAATGTGTTAGAAGTTCAACGCATTAATTTTGTGTTAGCCCTTTGAACTATCAAAATTAACATCAAAAGTTGAAAGTTCAAAATGTTCTCACTATTGAATTTCTTAACACTACCTTTTTTTCTTTTTAAAAGGCAATGTTAAAATATGTGCATGAGAAAATCCATGTGTTGGCTGCATGCCCAATTTAATCTATGTCCCTGCTTCTTTTATTTCTGTTGGTGTCAGCAGAAGATGAATTTCATAGAGGGGAGTTGAGGGAGAGGCCAGTGCCTAAGACAGTGTAAGACACAGAGGGGTTCAGTATACATTTGCTGAGTGGGTAGATCAGAAGTGGGTGCCCAAAGGAACTATGCGAACAGAGGGAACCATTGAGGTTCCCTCGTCCCCACTCCCCATACCTGGGAAACTGTATAGGGGTCCCATTCACCTCCAGACCATTGCAAGCTGACATTACTGCAACTGCCCTCTTCCTCTGCATTCCCCTATGCCAGGATTTCCCCAGTACAATCAAGAATGATATAGGTTGACCACATATCAGTCCCTAAAGAAATGAGATCTATGTCCTGACTTAAGAATAGTGTCTAGAAAAAATATGCATAAACAAACACAGCTTACTACTTGATGTAGTGTATCATTATTGAAGTAACTGGCCTGTGTCACAAATGAGAGTAATCCAAGTGTAAACAAGGATCCACAGGTGCAAAGCAATGACTTTGTCCCAGATCCAGACTTGTTCACAGTAATGCTGATGTTGTCTCTGAGCACTGACTCCATGTCATGCCCTTCTCTGATGCTGCTGCCTATAAAAATTCACTTGATTTTTACATTTCTCTGATAAGTAGGAACTATTATTCTCTGGACTCTTGGTTTCCTCATTTCTAACAATGGAAATAATATTTGTTACTATATGTCTGTTGTGGAAACCCAGTAAGTTAATGCATTGCATGTAGTAAGTGCTTGATACATATTAGCCTTCCACCTTACCATTGTTAATGTGTCCTTACTTTAATAGATTAGGAAACTGAGAAACAAAGTGAAGTAAATGGCCCAAGATCCACAGCTATTAAGTGGACAAGCCAACATATAAACTCCGTGCTATTATAAAGAAACTGCTGGATCCTGGAATCCATGAACACCTCATGGAAAGTAAGCTATGAATTACTCCCATCAAAATAGTGAAAGGAAACAAGTCAGCTGCTATTAGAAATGGAATCCACCAGAGGTCAGTAGAGGTATGCATTATAGCCACATGGTTGGAACCCAGGGTGTTTTAAGACATTAGACAGAGAAAACTTAATTGCAGATATCATGCTTCTTGTTAAAGAAGAAATTGATACAAAGTACTTTTCTGTTACCTTAAAGTATAGAAGATTGCTTCAAGGATTGAATATATATATATATATATATATAAGTGACTGGTTACAAGCAAATGAAAGGACTTTCTTTCATCTGTCAACGCTCAATGGACCCTTGTTATCACTCCTCTGAGCCTGATACTGCCCTAGGGTGAGGGGTCAGGGGTTACCAGGTATAAAAGTCAATGAACAATGATTGGCAATGTCACACGACACTGCCTTGACACCCCTGCGCACCCTCATTCTGAAAGATTATGCCACAATCTAGGCTTGGCCTTGGCTTGACCCAGGGGCTAGCAACAAAAAAGACATCGATGGTTTCAGTATATCTTTGGAGCAATTGGATGAAACTGAATTTAGAGAAGATAAATTTAGAGAAGGGCTATGTGAGCGCCAAAGTGCTCTCACTCCCTTTCTCTCTTGATATATCTGTGTGTCTCCATGTCACATTTGAATGCGTTCTTTTGACAAGTGATTAAGAAATCCAGGTAAAGAGGATATAAATGTTTTAATTATTGAAATACACTGGTTGATTGAAAAATTTACACTGCTCTACCGAGTGGACACACGTGCTTATTAGCAAATTAAGAACTTTCCAAACATCCTACTAACCATTAGTCACAAGTCTTCAAAAATAGTATCGAATGAACGTGATGAGATGCCGTGAACACACCGAGGGCACGCGGGCCGCTCGACGCCAGTGAAGCCTGGGCCATCCCAGAAGCCTCGGCTAGCGAAGATAGGAAGCTAATCAAGGTATGCGAATGGCATGCACGTTTCCACAGTTTATTTTTAAATGTTGCCATGTAATACAACGTCCCTATGCAGGAAATTCTGACATTTAAATAACTGAAAATCAAGCCGTGGAAAAGGGAAAGCAGTCACAGTGAGAATCAAATGAACAATTTTACAGCTGAAAATTAACGTAAAGAAGAGTGAAAGATCACAGACAAATACATTACCTTTGGTAATTTATTTATAGTGCCTTATTGTTTTAAGTTATAAATAGTATAAGGATTTCATCATATAAAACTATCAAAAAGTATCAGTGAAAAGACATGATCTTCATGAGCCAGGCACATGGCCAGGACATAGGTGGTGGGGGGCCCACAATAGCCGGAGCCCAGCAGACCCAAACAGCATCAGCTCATCTGTTACAGATGTACCACAGAAAGTTCCACGTCCGAGTGTATTGTTGGACCAATTCCTACCTAGGACAACAGCCAACACGTGCTCACGGTTTTAACTAGACTCTAGACTTAAGACTATTGGGGAAGGTGGGTGGCCAGGAGAACAGGAGAATGTTTAGAATTTCTTAGAATGTCTGTGCCCGTTCCAATGTCCCATGGGAAGAAATTCTTTCCAGATCTTGATAAGGGTGCTATGAAGACAACAAGCAGAAAAAGGAAAAGAATTAGCGGGCTTGAAAATGTACAACTTTGATAAAAAAATATACCAGCGTTAAGCCTATAAATACCTTGCTGACTATGTAAGTAAAACATGTGTTCAATGTTTACTTTAGATTAACTTAAAATTTAATATGTGGCCAGTGTGGTGCTAAACACAGATGATCTTTATATAAAGGGACAAATTCCAGGGGAGATGGAGACTAGAAAACTTGAGATGAAGTGCAACATGGTAACACCCCATGTCTCCAGTTAGACAGGCTGCTCGGCTACCACCTCATCCATTCTGCACGTGGTCAGGCCCTCCTGGGAGAGGTACAGCCATCACATCGATCTTCCTCTCCCAGGAGGGACTGGGGTAGTTAGCACATCATAGGTGACTAAGTGCTATTATTTAAGCTCCCCTGAGCTAGAAGCTCTCCACACATCTAAGTGGGGCATAATTTTCACCCTTTAGTCCTCTGTGGCAGAACCTATACATCTGTATCATGATAAAAGTAGTTTTAAGAGATTCCGAAATCATTCCACATTTGTTTTCAGAAAGTTACCAAATCTCTTTGAACTTTAGTCAACAAGCAAGTCCAGTAGCTTTATTTCTAGAGTGATTTCACAAGCTCTGTCAAAAAAATGTGTCTCCATCCTTTCCACAAAATGTCTTTCTCTTCAAAGGTTTAGTCCTCATCAGGGTGTGTGCCCGATAATTTAAAGCCAAGAAAGTCAGGACTTCAGACAGATTGGAGAGAAGGACCACCGAGGACCTTTGAACTAAAGCAAAGTACAGTCCTTCAACTTAGAGCATGTTTCAGGCAATTCATAGGAGGCAAAAGAAAGTCTAGATCAAATTTATTTTTAGTAGTTACAGAATGAGGAAAATTGAGGAGAGGGATGGGAATAAAATAATGTATATTTATAGCCATGTGCAGTAAGGAAATATTCTAGCTAGCTGTCTAAAGTTATGTGGGCTGGCTTAGCAGCAATACTCATAAAATGTTATCAGGGAAGCACGGGAGGGTGAGAGAATTCACCAGAGCCAGAGCGGGGAACAGAACAGGCAGACTGACGAAATCCACTGCTGAGGGGAGCAGCAGGCACGGCAGGAGAGGTCTGCACGCCATGTGGGACCCTCGTCGGCAGCCGGGGAATCAGGGAATTTTAGAACCACACACAAAGTTGATAATTTATCTTGCATAACTCTCCCATGAGAAACTGAAACTGAGGGAGGCTAGGAGAAGGGAAGAGATGTGTCTAAGATCCAGTGTTAATAGCAGAGCTTCTGCGTGACCTGACAGCTGTCTACACAGCACCCCGTTCCTCTATCCCCAGATTTTTTAAAATATATCCTCTTTGCAGGAGGGTAAACAGTAATGTGTGCTTATTTCAACTAGATTACCTTTCCCGCCGATGTTAATAACAAAGGAATACCTGCACAGGGAAAAACTAGCAGGGAACTTAGACATCTATATGGAGGTTTAGAACTCTATTAAAAATACTAGAAATAGGAAATCTCCAACAATTTCACAAAGAGAACTCAACATCCTAATACGGAATTTGTCATTACCTAGTTATGAGTAACTAGTTAATAAATCTCCAAAATGCTGCTGCCTTATGATAATATCTTCAAAGAAGTGACATCCAGAGATGGGTATAGTTCTTATTAGGAAGAATTTTGTGCCAGTTTCTGTGTCCTTCCCACAGTGGGAAAGCTCATTTCTCTGCCTGTAAGTTTATTCAATGAGCCTTCCCCATCCAAAGCACCAGCTCCAGTATTGTATCTAGGCAAGAAGTTGGTTCTCCATCTAATCAGTACTGATCTGATTTGATCTACTAGATGGCTACCAATGGCTGGACTGCCAGTGGCTGGATTCTGATTACTCTGATGATGATGATGATCGTGAAGCTCACGATCACAGCAATGAGAGCAGACACTATCACTTGTTCCATATTTAATCCTAATAATAACCCTTCATTCAAGCATTAGTTCTATTTCACAGATTACAAAATAGAGGCTGCAAAGCTAAAGTAACTTGCCCAACTAGCCAGTGAAATACAAATCCAAGGCTGCCAAGAATGGGCTACCTCGGGAGACAAGAGAATTTCTGATGACTGAGATTCAAGAGGTCGGATGTCAGTCAGCAATACTGAAAGCTGGGATCTAGTAATGATCAGAGTTAGACCAAGTGAACAAAGAGTCTTTGCCTATGTGGATCTGTTGCTCATAATTTTTAGAGACTGGTACATAGAAAGTGGTTAGTAAATGAAAGTCACTTTTTCTTCTGTCCTGATTCTTGCTCATCTTATCATTATTCTAACTCCAAGCTCTTGACCAGGATCCCAGATGCCCAGTGCTTCACCTTTTGGATAATCATTTCTTCTGTCCACACTGAGCATGTTTTATAATACCCAACCTGTAACTTGGCCTATGATTTCATTCTTCTTCCTGAAAATGAAGAAGGCCTATGATTTCATTCTTCTTCCTTGGCCTATGATTTCATTCTTCTTCCTGCATCTCTATATATTAATGATTACCTATCTCCATCAGAGTTTAGGTACCAATACTTTTCTTCTCTGTATATTAACTAATCCCAGGCTATTGCCAAACAATTAACATTGATCCTAATCTATTTACCAGTCCTAGCCTCTCCAGTATCTCCCCGACATTTCCAAAGTCCTAACCTTGTTGTTTCAGGTGGACACTTAGTTTGCTCTTATTAAATAAAGTTGCATTTTAAACTAAATGAAACGGTGGGGGGTGGGGAAGAGCAGCAAAGACAATAGATCAAGCCACTGAAAACCTCTTTATAATAAAACATGTTCAATTCTACAGGCTTCACCCCAAATAAGACGCCCCCCTGTCTTGAAGTTCAAGACTTTTTTCAGAAATCCATAGCAATACTAGCTATGTTTCTTCCATTGTCAAGGCTAAATATATAACATTATTTAGAAAGATATACAGTACCTCTTGGTCATGAGTCATGATACTATTTTCTTCTAATCTTAAAGAGAAAATTAAGAAAAATTAAATGGTCACAGAATAAAAAATATATTCCAAGTTCATATAAAACTATAAAAAGTAGTGACATGTGTAACTGCTAATCTAAATCATAGACAAGAAGCAATTGGCAACAAATAAACATAAAATGTTAAAAAATAATGTAGTGCTGCCTTGTGTGCATATTAGATATATTAATATTCCTTCAATACTACATATTAGAGGATTGTACAACTGTACAATCAGCACTCTTTACTACCAGCTTCCCTTAAAGATTTACTTAAGCAAGAAGCTAGTGACAAGGCTGTAGTCATGCTTGTTAGCAAAGGGGCTTCATTAGCCCCACAATTACTATTAAAACTTGGAAAAGAACCCTCATTTCATTATACACAGGCAGTCATTTTTCCTGCAACCCCCAGACTAATATCAGTGAGTCATCTTCAAAACATATTACAAGAATTTACCATTCTGTTCTGCAAAAACTTAGTGAAATGTTACCTTTCATTTTCACACTCATCATCACTGAAATTAGCAAATAATTTAAAATATCCATGGAGCATAACCACAAACGGATGCTATCTTTTTTGCTCTGGAATTATCCCATCTTCTCAGCACCACTTTCACCAAATGATTACAACATACAGATACATGGCTTTTTTACACAGTTCGCTGCAACTAAGTAATAAGTAGGTTGAGTCAGACAAGCTGAAATACAAGTTTTATATTTTTTCACAAAACATAAAAATAGAGACAATAAATATCACATTTTACTTACTTTTTCGTACAGTCTTTGTTTGGTTGGAGACTATATTGACAGCTTCAGATGGTAGGCCAACATACACCCCTCCGTAGTTTCTAAAAGAAAAGCAGCAGATAAGAAAAGTCAGATGGATGGAAAGGGTACTTTATCTCTGCAGAGGACTTCAAACAATTATAGAATTGTTTATATTAAACATCGGATAACTTGATGTTAATATAAACAATATTATATTAACTTGATATACTTGATAATATAAACATAAACTAACTAAACATAATGTTTATATTAAACATTAACTGACTTTAAAAGTTAAAGTCAGGATACTATTGTCCTTGAACATACAACTATTTTTTTTATGTTAATAACAGTATATGTATATAAATGTATATATCAAGAGGGGGAAATTGTATTAAGTTAGTACAATTTTTAGATATTCTACTTAAAACGAGAAATGGATGTTATCATTTAAATAGGAGAATGGCAGGATACTGTTAAATCAGTCAATATTTATCAAGAATTCAGAGAGATCGACATGGTATCAGGTGCTATGGACACACCAAAAAAACACTGTCCTATTGGCAGACAGAAACACAAAAGGTAGGAAGAGAGCTAAGGAGTAGAGGGCAATGAACCAGGGTGGGGATGAGAGGACACAGGAGGCTGAGAGAATGAAGGGGGAGTCCCCCAATCATGAAAACTAACACTTCCAATGGTCAAAGGCCACAAGATTGAAAGGCCATGTGAGGACAAAAACCAAGCCTGCCAGACCGAAGCCAAGATTGTGGATTCTGGGCAAGTTCTTTTTCATGCTCCTTCCTGTATCCTCAGCGTCAAATGTTTTCCTGGTGGAATCTGTATTATTGAGAATGTGCTACAGTGTTCAATTAAATCCATGACTTAAATTAATCCATGACATGTTAAATCCCTAAGAGGTGGTCAAAATTATTCACATTAAAGTCAGTCTCAGTACCAAACATACCTCCTCTTGTCGTCATCTGTTATCGATTCTTCGGCTCTAGAAGGTGAAAAATATTTTCTATTAGACTTCAGTTTTGGTCATGAGAAAAAGGGGGATGCTGAGTTAAAGTCAATTTTATTTATATTTCAAGTTCTTCCATAGAGTATTTCTGTAACATAGTCTTCTGTTTCCATCTCAGTCACTCATGCATTAAAAAAAAAAAACCAGAGATAATTTTCTACTTACCAAAAGCCCAACTGTTCAACAAAGTAAAAAGCTGAGGGCAGCCAAGATTGGAAAGAGCACATGAATTTGGAGCTAGGAAGACTGGGCTCTTATCTGGGCCACACCACCCACTCCCTGTGTGACAGACAGACAGGCTGTGGGCCAATCGCCTGCCTGTAAGACACCTGTAAGTTAAGGGGGTCGACCAGATGACCGCCGAGGTCCCTTCCAGAGCTTACACATGACAATTTTGTGTTCCTCATGCCAGTTCAGGGACACTACAGTAGGCATGTAAGATTTCTTCAGCAAAAAAGGCAATGCCAATTTTATTTCCTTTTATCTAAAAAGCTAGTCGTCTTACACATGATCTACTGCAAAAAGGAGGAAATATTTTAAAGGAAGTATATAGAGGAAATCACTACTTTAAAATGCACAGCCTCTTTCCTTGCATAAAAGAAATCCACCTTCTATTAAATTCCTTGGCCCGTTTCACAGAGGCTCAGGAAGCACTCCATGAGCACAAGCTAGCGTACATCAATTTTTTTTTCTGAAAGAACAAAAAAATTCAACAAGAACCCATTGTATCCAACTGAACTCAACATGTAATTCTAAGGGCCTTCAGTCAAGAAGAAAGCAATCTGAAAACATCTAGCCAGCTTCACCAAATCTTCTAAGAATTGTCTCAGGTGGTCTCAGCCATTCAAAAAATGTACATTTTTCAAATGTAAACATACTTGAGCTTCTGCCTCACTGTAGCAGCCAGTAAAGGGAAGTGTATATAAAGAGGAAGTGTCAAGTGGCAGTGACCTGGTGAACATGGGCCATGCACGCGGCTCATACTCCACAGTGTAAAATCCACCTGAAGCTCTAAATCATCCAAATTGAGCACATCACCTAAAGGTGCCAGATAATTATCAGCTTCATTTATTTCTTGCTAAAGTTGGATCGTTTTTTAATTCAAAGGTGTAAAAGTCATACTGTATTAGAAATGGTGTGACGCCTGCTGACTGAAGTAGTGTAACAACATTGTTCACTACTTTCAATTAAAATGGATGTATGACCCATTGGCACAAGTTAACCCATATGGCACAGCAGACCTCTCCTGTCTCACCCGCTGCTCCCCTCCGCAGTGTATTTCAGTCAGCCTGCCTGTTCTGTCCCCAACTTTGGTGGATCCTCTCACACCCACACCTCCGGTCTGTACCCCGGTTCTTGTATGCATAAATAAATAAATCTTTTAAAAAAACTGGACAACCAAGTCCAGTTTGAGGCTAAATCAGAAATACAGTGGTTGGTCTAAAATGAATCCCCCTGTGGACATACAGGCATGAGCTGTTATATATTTGGCTGTCCTGCTGGGTCTGAGAGGACAGCATCTTACCAGCAGGAACGGAGTGGTCCTGTCTCAGCTGCACAGGTAGCATTAGCCAAAGGAAGGGCTCGCAAGGAACATTAAAGCTCCCTCATAAAAGGAGGCCTGGTGATGCTAAGCCAAAGGCTCTGAAAAGCTGGTGCAATGGCCTCATGCTTACTCGTGGCTCCATGTTGGGGCTATTGGAGGAAGGAGACACTAAAAATCTCACCTTCTGGTGTAGAGGACTAACTTCTCTGACATACCATTTCTTGTTGACAAGAGACCTAGGTATTATCTTCAGGCAGTTCAAAACTAGGAAGTTAAATATATCTTACCACTAAGCAACTTAGCAAGTTCTGAGATTCTTGTTCTTGGGGAAATTCTCAACTTCTGAACAAAGCTCAGGCTGTTTGAAGAGCTGGGCTGCCCCACCTGTACATCATTTTAAGAAATCACTGGTTTTTCCCCTTATAAAACACATGTTGACGATTTTATTTATCAACTGGTCTAAATTATCCATTTGCTGATATTCTTCAGGTCTTCTTGTAGACCGACAAGCACCAAAGAGAATGTCTGAGGCACTTGGGATAATTAAGGGTCACACAGGGAATTTGTGTCATTTGAATCAAAGGCAAGTAAATTTTACATTTTGAAGGCTGGGCAGCCTTATTTTTAAGCACATGTGCCGTTTCTGAAGCTATGTAAACAGTCTGTGGTCTTCCCTCACCCCTAATGATGCAGGAAGTCAGGCCCAGGGCCTGGTCTGGCCAAGCAGCCCCACCACAGAACTCTCAGATGAGCCACATGTTTCTCACCAATGACTTGATTGTTTTTCCTTTGCTGGCCACTATAGCTTGAGTGAGAGGGCAGGGCCATAGCATGGACTGCGAGGGACTGTCAAATGTGTTCCCTAAACCAATGAAGGAAGAAGTGGGGAAGAGAGGGCAAAACACAAAGACACACCTTCCCCCGGCTTTATGAGAACAGCTGACACTCAGAGAGCCCAGAAGTTTCTCCAAAACAGGCCTCATTACCCTATTCTCTGCCAGTACTAAGGCAGATCAGGAAGGGCACAGAAAGAGATGGATGACTTCATTCTTAAATCTTCCCTCAGAGCTCAGAGCCTGAAGATTGAATTATTCCATGCTGGAAAAGATAACGTGAAAATGAGGCCAATTCACAGTGGATGACCTGGAAAGCAGGCCAAACGGTCCCGCTGCACTTGATGACACTCCTCGGGAGCCAATTGACCCTAATATCCCCACAGACTCAGCCTCGCCATCACCTTGCTCCTTTAGGAGAGCAGAAAGTGAGCACCCATCCCCCACCCCGGAGGGTGAGTGTCCATCACAGTCAGCCTCTTCTGAAGAGCCGTTCTAGAATGTAGTTCAGGAGCCAATGCCCAGCTTTCGACAAGCAGAGGCACTGAAAATGAGAAATGTGAGAGAAGGGATTTGGGGACAACAGAGCACCCCTGAATCTACCAGAGGTGGGAACGGACCTTGTGAAGAAGGTTTCTGCCAAGAGGACCTAAACCGTTACAAGAGCGAAGGGCACAGGTACCAACAAAATCCCCTAAAAATAAAAAGTCAGAGGTGCTTCCCCTCCCTGCCTTGGCCCCCAATTACACCATCAAGGTGCCAGGGGCCCAGGTCAATGAGGGGGAAGGGCCACCTGCACAGATGACCAAGGCCATGGGGGCACAGCACCGCCAAGCCTGCCAGGACAGCAGAAAGCTCTGGGCTGGAGAGATGGGGAAATAAAGTCAGCTCTTCACTCCTCACCTCTGCGAATGTGGGCGCTTCTAGGGCTCTTGCCAAAGGAAATAGGAAACAGAAGAGGCTACCGCAGCTGTGTCTAATCTAATGAGGGACTAAAGGCAACAAAATACTCCCTGCAACGTGGAACGGAATCTGAATGAGCTAACAGAGCAGGGCCTTCCGCGTTCCATGGTTGTGATGCCCTGACCTCACAGCCGAGTGCACCAAGACACGAGTGCCAGGGCCTGCCCTGAGTCCTGGCCTCCCCAGCTAAGGCACAGGAAGGGAGAGAAAGATGAAGAAAGAGGCAGGTGGCTGGGATTTTAGGCTTTTTTTAGTGGTATGAGCAGCCACATATTTGAACGATTTCATGGTCTGAAATGGCTGAGATTTAATTATATTTTAAAAGGACCGCTGGCTAAAGTTTTCAGCTCTCCATTACGTGTCACATGTGCCTGAGTGTCAATGAGGGAAAGGAGAGAGGGATGTAGGGAGAGAGAGAGAGAGAGACAAGGAGATGCACCCACAGGGAGGCTCTGGATCTAGGAGCTGGGAGCCAAGTCTAAACCATCCATGACAGCTGAGCCAAGACCAGTCTGACAAGGAAGACTTAGCTTGTGTAGACCAAAGAGCAAAGGGAGAAAGTCCTTCTCCGGAGCCTGCACTTGTTTCAGTGAGGAGTCATTTCGTTTCCAGTTCTGCAGAAGCCGCTGTTGTAAAGAGGAAATCTGTGTGACACACTTGTTTTTCCTTCGAGGGGAACATGACAGAAGATGGTGAAGAGCTTTCTGCAGTATTTATTTCTAATCACAGACATTTATTTGAAAATTTGTGAAGTGATGTAATATTGGCAAAAAAAAAAACCCCACTGTTAATAGTAAAGTATTTTTTAATCTTAAAATCACACACCAGTTTACGAGGGAAACCTTTTAAAGTCACGAGAATACGTCCTAACACATAGAACACGTCTGAACAATTTCGAACCAGGTTTCAAAAAATACACTGGGTAGGTCATTAAAATTGGGGCTCTTTCCTTTAGCAAAGATTCAGCTTCTTTTATCAAAGAACAGGAGTTGGAGGAGAAAGACCGTGTGGAGGGTCCAGCCATCCAGCTGGCACCAGGGTGCTCTCCAGAGTGAGATCATACGCCTCTGGGCTCAGACACACTCCTGGGCACAGGGTCCCCGAGAACATCTGCAGACACAAGCGTTACTGAGGGTGGGTCACCAGAGTCCCCAGCTTTGGAGATTGTTGAAAAGATAAATCTTCAGTTGATGGTTTAAAAATGACTCACCCTTGCAGGGTAAATACTGCTTAGTGATGACTATCTCACCCGAGGTGGCCCAGCCCACCCAGGGCCAAGTCAGACAGAGAAAGAAAAGAAGAAAGTAGAAAGCAACAGACTCCCAGCAACCACAGCACTAAACTTAGAGTTGGGCGAACTTCAGGTTTCAAACTGCTTTCTTGTGTCTCAGAGTTTCCATCAAAGACTGTAGCCTATTTCCAGTGAACCAGCAAGGTCCTCTCCCTCAGCGTCTCAGCTTGAATATCTATATTGATCCAGATGCTCTAAGTAATTCCACATCCATCTGCTTCCTGTTAGCTTTGGAGACCTTTTCTAAATGAAACACAGTGACTGATTTCTCTTTGACGGTAAATAAGCTCTGACTTTTTAAAAGTCAAAATTCCAGGCAGGGGGCTGCCTTAAAAGCAGCCCCATGTCTTGGTGGCTCTTTCGGGTGGGCTGGCTCTCTTCTGCATGCCTACTTCCAACCCAATATCCATGGAGAACACTAAATCCTTTCAATCCGTTTATACGACCGTGATTATCATCTTATCACTGTCACTTTCATTAAGAGAAACCTTATGAGCAGCAACTCTATCAAATGTAAACCACTCTTCCGCAGTCACACATTGGGACCCAAAGTATTGTCATCACTATGTTACCTTAGTTTCTGGGTTGTATAAAACAGCTATCCCAAATGACCCATCTTAAAAAAAGGGGGGTTCAAGGATAAAATAATGAACTACAGCTTGGCTATAATACGCACGCTAGCAGGAACAAATACAGATGAGAGAGATCAGCAGCCAGCTAATCCCACCAGCGTTCTACCCCATCCTGCTACATTTTGCCTTCAAATTCAGAAAGTTTCTCACTTCCCTGGCCTCCCAGAACTAACATAGTTATGTGGCAAAGAAATGATTTACTTTTTACTTATTCATCAAGGAAAATGTTCTAAATATAGAACTGTTATTAGCAAAGATCCAAGAGGCAGAAAAACAGGCTACAGTCTTTTTTTTTTTTTTTCCATATCTGCAGTGCTGCTCAAGAGGTCAAACTTATTTGGATTTGTCAACAGTATAAATTTAATATGGAAATTTCTGGAGACCATGCATGTAGCTCTAATGAGCTATTTTTAACTGCCATTCATGATAATCTTCTGGAATCAGTTTATTTATGGACCCTGTTCACTTCCATTTACACTACAGTTCTTCAGAACAAGTATAATCATGTAATTTTCTTTATCATATGTTCTGTGATGGCCCCTGCCTTTATGGTGGTTCCAGTATCAATTCTACCAAACCATTACAGAGAATTCCTGACAGAATTGATGTTTTATCATTGGCTGTTTTGCCCCATATGTCATCATCATAGACATCTCTTCACCATTTCAAAACTTCTTTGGACAGCTACCTTGGAAAATATCTCCTTGCATGAGCCCCTTGGCCAGTATTGGCCCTTTTCTTTCTTCTAGAAGACATTACCAGAGAACATGAGTAAGATTCACTCTTTGTATGAGGGTAATGGGTCACGAGCTCATCTGCCATGTCCCTCCCCTTCTGCTGCTGTCCCAACAAGCACATACTGTCAGGGCTAGACATTATCAGTCACTGTAAACAAAACCAGAATGTCCTCTCCACCTTCTTCCCTTAAGAAACCTGGCTCTTCCCTGATGGTATCCTTTTTCTCAAAACCTCAAGAATATGCAATTTGTCTTCCCATACCCCAATGTCTCCAAAAGGAGCCGGAGCCATCTCACTCCAAACTCCCCAGAGATCTCTTTCAATGAGGCCATTTCACCTCCACTCAAAGACTCTCCTCTGGCCCTGGAGCCCTACTCCAACAGCCCCAAAGGCACTAAAAGGTGCTTCTGACTCAGAGGTTTTCCTAGCCATCATTATCTTGAACAGCATGGAAACACGCAATCAACCCCCTGCTTGACCACTTGCTGGCTTCCTGGAGACAAGCGACTTTTATTGCTACTGTAATGACTTCCTCCCAAGGCTATCCTTGGGGCTCAGTTCCTGGAACTATTTCACCTCTGACATTTCAGAGTAGAAAATCCCCCGGGGGTGGGGTATCTGCCTTCCAATCCCCCCACTCCCAAGGAGCCTGTTTGCTTCTTTTTTTTTTTCTTTTTGGTAGACTCACAACATCATTTTGGTTTCAGGTGTACACTGTGATCAAGGAATGCTTGTGTACAAGGCAAAATGCTCAACAAAAGTCTGTTTGCCAGGTTTTGAGCAACGTTCAAGCTTGCAATCCCATATTATTGGTTTTATCTCCCACGCTGTACATCACCTCTTCTGGACTGATTTAGAAGTAAGTCAGAAAGAGACAATTATCACATCATTTCACTTATATGTAGAATCTTAAAAAGAAAAAAACTCATAGAGACAGAAAACAAATTAGAGGTTACTAGAGGGAGGAGAGTTGGAAGATGGAAGTGGGTGAAGGGTACACCCTCCTGCTCCCCCACTCATTAGCCCTTTTTCTTCCCTCACCCTTTTCTAGCATGTTCCCTGAAGGCAAGCCTGGCAGCAACACCTGCTGGCACCACCAGTCCTCTCTATCTCAGGCTGAATCTACCGTCTGCTTTCTCTCTTCCTGCTCCTGATCCACTGGCTCCAACCTAAGGAAAATCTCCTCTTGCCATGCTGGGCAACCCCTGGGAGGGTGTGAGGTTTTACACACAAGGTCCTCCACGCACCAGGTTTCATGCCATCAGGTGCTCCTGGCACTGGCCCTGCGGAGTCTTTTCAACAACCTCACACCACCTAATAATTCCAGCTCCCACTTCCAGGGATCAACAAAGCATAGTACCAAGGATAAGCCTAGGCTGCTGAATATGTGGTACCCACCACCCTCATCATTTAATCTCTGTGCCCAACTCCTCATTCATAAAATGTAACATTCGCGTCTCCAGCAGACTGTTCTGGGCACAGACGGCAATAATGAACTTAAAATGCTGGAATCATTACAGGACATACAGCCCTTGATAAAGAGGAGCTACAGGCTGAGAATGCTGACCGGGGTACATGCACACTGGGTATCTCTAGATACTCAGAGCGAAGGATACCAAGGACGCGCTATCACATCACTGGTAAATGATGGAGGGAAATTGAAGGCGAATCTCTCTGTTTTCCAAACATGTGCTTTTTCCACGCTGCATCCACCCCAATTTCCTCACCCTCAGAAGACGACCAGGGAAGAGACAAATACACCAGATACTCTCAGTTTGTAAACCCAGAGCAAAGAGGTGCATTTGACATGGGAAATTTATGAAGAATTCCAAGAAAACTCAAGATAAGAGACTCATGGTTTTTTGTTTTTTTTTAAAAGATGGAGCTTCAACATATTTCCTGTTAACTCATTCCAAGACATTTCTCTTTACAGCTACTACCTTCCATAATGATAAAACTGCTTTGTCAAGAAAGGACTCAATAAAAGGTCACTTTACAAATTGTAAATAAAAGAAGCATTTATTATCTGTCTTCAACTGAATGACTATGATCTTTTAATTTTAATTTAACAGAAAACATTAAATTTGAAACAGCTATTTCTTATTTGAAACACTTATAATATTCTTATAAATATTGCTTAAAGTTCCAATCAAGAACTTTTTGAGGGGGGTGGCACAAGGGGTTAAGACGCAACTTATGAAGCTGTCCGCAGCCACTGCAGCAAGAGTTCGATCCCCAGCCTGGGAGCTATCCACATGGCACAGCAGACCTCTCCTGACTCACCCACTGCTCCCCTCGGCAGTGTATTTCAGTTAATTCACCTGTTCTGTTCCCCACTCTGTCTCTGGTGAATCCTCTTACCCCCCACACCTCTGGTCTGTACCCCAGTTCTTGTATGCATAAATAAACAAGTCTTTAAAAAAAAGAAC